TTTATTAACAATGGAAGAGTTCACAATAAAAATTCGTAACGGGGTTATTTTTAAAATCTATGTTACAATATTTCGTGGAAGGATAAATAAAGGTACGCGTTTTCTCGTGGTAGCAATTAAATCAAATTTTAGTGTACCAAATGTTTATAAAAAAATTGCAAAAATCGATATTTCAGTTTTTTCAAATAGAACATATTTTGGTAATATTTCTTATCTATTTTTCGTTTTCATTCCTCTAATATGTCCAAATTATAATAATAAAAAGCAGAATCAGATGCAGTAATAAAATATAGGGTGTTCTAGCTGAATAATCTAAAATATCGATATTTCAGAATGATATTTATCAACATTTTTTATAAACACTCTGTATAAGACAGTGTCATTTCATTTATACCACAATAAAGCGCGTACCTTTATTTATATCTCCACGAAATATTGTATCACAGATTTTAAAAATAAACTTGCTGCGATTTTTTTTGTGAACATTTGAAGTGCTGAAATATTCAAGAAAATTAGAATAATCTGGCAACACAGCATCAGGATTTAAAAAATGAACTGTGGTTGTAAAACCCAAAAGGTTAATAAAAATATCTAAAAAATATATAGGGTGTTTGATTAAAATAGCTACAAATAATTTTATAGTATAGTCCTGCAAGAACCGCACAAGTTTGATTTTTAGCTTTTTCTTTTTTCTAGTATATCTATATATACAGGACGAGTAACTAAAAAAATCGAAGACCAGAGTTCTTTGAGAATTATACTCTTAAATTATTTTTAACTTTATAGAGCGTTCTGTTTTTTTAAATTAAACACCCTATATAACTACATATTTTATTGATCTCCCCTTAGGCTTTACAACCACAGTTTACTTATGAACTTCGAGTGTGACGGTGCGAAGTTGCCACATTGTTTCAATTTTCTTGAAATTTTTTGGCAGTGGTAGAATTCACAAAAAAAAACGCAATGGGGTTATTCTCAAAGTCTGTTTTACATTATTATGTGGAAGGATAAATAAAGGAATGCGTTTTGTTGTGGAAGCAACAAATTAAATTTTAATATACAGAGTGTTTATAAAAAAATTCTAAAACTTTACAACTGCCAAATATCGATATTTCAGTTTTTTCAAGTAGAACATTCTTTGGTAATATATCTTACTCTATTTTTCGTTTTCATTCCTGTAATATGTCCAAATTATTATAATAAAAAGCAGAATCAGATGTAATAGTAAAATATAGGGTGTTCTATTTGAAAAAATTAAATATCTATAATATTTCAAAATTACATTAATGAACATTTTTTATAAACACTCTGTATACGACACTGTCATTTCATTTACACCACAACAAAGCGGGTACCTTTATTTATATCCCCACGAAATATTGTATCACAGATTTTAAAAATAACCCTGCTGCGATTTTTTTTGTGAACATTTGAAGTGCTAAAAAATTCAAGAAAATTAGAATAACCTGGCAACACAGCAGCACAATTTCAAAAATGAACTGTGGTTGTAAAACCGAAGAGGTTAATAAAACTATCTAAAAATATATAGGGTGTTTTATTAAAAAAACTAAGTTGTGTGTTCCACGTTAAAAGCAGAACACTCTATAGTTACAAATAATTTTATAGTATAGTCCTGAAAGAACTTATCTTTTTTTAGTATATCTATATATACAGGTGAGTCACTAAAAAAATCAAAGACCAGAGTTCTTCGAGAATTATACTCTTAAATTATTATTTTTAACTTTATAGAGCGTTCTGTTTTTTTTTTAAAGTTGATAAGTCCAAAGTTGAAACCGACGAATTGTAAATCCAGAAATTGAAGAATTGAAAAATCTAGAAATTGAAACATCTAAGTGCTGCAAACTCTGAAAAGTGAAAAAACAAAAAAAATGGAAAATCAAAAATTACAAATCGAAAAATTGAAGAAACGAAAAAGTGAAAAGATTGAAATAAAAAAACAAAAAATGATAAAATCGGAACACTAAAAAATCGAAAATTTGTAAAAATAAAGAAAATAAAAGCTGAAATCAAAACGTTTACAAATCGAAAATTTGAAGAAATGAAAAATTAAAGCAACAAAAAATTAAAAAATTAAAATTGAAAGAACAAAAATTGTAAAACCGAATAATTGTAAAAATTAAGAAAATAAAAAACGTAAACGGAAAATTTCAAATCGAAAAATTGAAAATTAAAAATTGAGAACTCGAGAGAAAATCAAATCGAAAATTGCAAAAACTAAAAATTAACAAAATCAAAAGTTGCAAAATTGATGAACTGAAAAACTCGAAAAATTGCAAATCAAAAAACTGATGAAACAAAAAAAAAATGAAATAGAAAATTTCAAGTTAAAAAAGCTGCGGGAGTGGTTTTTATTTTATATTTTCAAAATTTCAATATCTCGATTTTTCAAAATTTCAAATTTTAAAATTTTCAGTTTTTAATGCTTCGTTTGAGCTATTCTGACTTTTCGATTTCTCGATCTTTTCATGTTTCTATTTCTGGGTGTTTCAATTTTTCAATTATTCCGTCTTCCGATTTTTCGCGGCTTATCGATTTTTAGATTTTTGGACATCGAGTTTTCCATGTTTATTTTTTCAATGTTTCGACATCTACATTTTTCGACCATTTTCGAATTTTTCAATATCCATTTTTCCACTTTTCGATTGTTCAATTTCGATTTTTTAAATTTTAGATTTTCGATTTCTTAAACTTCCTCGAGTTTTCGATTAAAAATTTTTAATATGTCAATTTTTTGATTTCTAAACTTTGAGAATTTTTCAACTTTTCTTCTATTTTTCCATTTTCGTAGAGGTTATCAGAAAACAAAAATCGCAAAAAAAAATAAAATTTTCCGAGAAGCGGGATTTATTGGACTACACTCCAAAGACGAGGGAAGTTCCATCGAAATAACCTCGGACCAATTTTTATTATTATGTTAGAATTTTTTTACACCAGCAGTAAAAAATTTCTATTGATTTCGACAAATCGACAAATTAAACACCCTATATAGCTTTACATATTTTATTGATCTCCCCTTAGGCTTTAAAACCAAAGTTTACTTATGAAATTCGGGTGTGACGGTGCGACGTTGCCACATTGTTTCAATTTTCTTGAAATTTTTTGGCAGTAGGGTTATTCTCCAAGTCTGCCTTACATTATTATGTGGAAGGTTAAATAAAGGAACGCGTTTTGTTGTGGTATCAACTAAATTAAATTTTAATATACAGAGTGTTTATAAAAAATAACTTTAGAGTTTTCAAATACCGATATTTCAGTTGTTTTGAATGGAACATTATATTTTGTTGGTGTATCTTACAAATATTTTGTCCACATTGTTTTAATATGTCGATGTGTCTCTTAACAAAGCAAAAAAGAGAACAAAAAATTGGATGTTCTTTTCGAAAAAACTGAAATATCGATATTTGAAAGTTGTAATAATTAAAACATTTTTATAAACACTCTGTATATGAAAATTTAATCCCACTTATATCACAACAAAGCGCGTATCTTTCTTTATTTCTCCGCAAAACCATACTTTTTTCTAATTCTACTAAAAATAATTAATGAGATATCGAAGAATGCGAGCTTAGTGACTCACCCTGTATATATAAAAGGGTAAACTGATTGACTAACTAACAAATATTATCCACCAGGGAAAACCACTCGTGATTTGTGGAGAAAAACGGAAGTATAGTGCTCCAACTGCTGGTTCGTTTTTATGACCTTATCCTATTGTGAAGGAGTTAAGTGTTCCACAATAGCCCTCTGCCGTAAGTAGTCCAGCGGTCATAAACCGTCAAGGGACCAACTGTCTACACTACACAGGGCCGTATGCGCCCGTAAACCTTTAAGATGATTTATGGCACGGCTATTTACATTTTCAATAGAGTTCCTAATACTTGCGGTAATTGAGATTGTAGTGCCATAAAAACGAAGTCAGAGTTGGACCACTATACTAAGTATTTTTTAAGTAAATGGGACGTCCATAAAATCGTTCATCCCCTATTTTACCTCCTTAGGGGTGCAATTTCCAAAAACGCAGGGACAGATAGTTAATTTCGAAACATAAGAGTGTCATTAACCCTTCCATGGGTGGAATTTTCAAAAAGGCCGAAACAGGTAAGTGGTTAATTTCTAACCAGAAGGCTAAAAGTATTAAATCTTAAGCTTTTAATCTTCTTTGAAGCTTTCATAAAGGGAATCTCTGCTCGCTCTGCTAATTTCAGCTTTCTCCAAGGGTTTGGGACGAGCGTTCATGAGGCAGTCAACAGTGAGTTATGATTTTTCTTTTTATATAGGAGTACATACACTGAAAATTCTAAAATTCTCGAATTCAAAACCGCTTTTTGATATTTTCCTAGGAAGGTAGATGGTAAAACAATAATCAAGATTTGCCTAATGATGCCCAGCAACAATTTAATGACGTCATCTCAAAATGCATTGCAAATGTCATTTATGTTATAAAAATTCACAATTTTTTTCGAAGGAATAACTATTTTAAAAACGAGTGACCCCCATGTCAGTGGAAACGTGTTAACACTGTTATCAGTCCTATTATCATTATTATTAAAACGTACAAAAGAAGACAGACACCTTTGACGCACCGCGTGTGAATGACACGAAAACACCGAGCCATTAATTGATCCACTCTCCCCTAGCAATCATCCAATCAAGCGGATCCCTCCCTCGCAAGCAAAGGTCCTTCCGCCACCCCTTCGCCCATCGCGTCCACGACCCATCTCTCCATCTCGCCCATCTCGCCGTCCCAACAAAACCACGAAAAATCGCGAATTCTCAAAAGCCGGTTAAAGCGGTTAAACGGAGCACGTGTTTGCCTTTGTTTGCGGCCCCTCGTCGTGCCCGTCCGCCGCTCTTCGTCGCCCGGGTGGGGACGGCCGCGGCGCCGGCCAATCGCTCTGCGCCGTTCGAACTTCCCGCGTCGGCACCTAGTTCGCGCACGCTCCGCCGGCGCACATGGCGCACGCCGGGCCGCCTCGCCGGGAATTCAGTCAGTCGCAAGCCAGCGGGACATACGCGTCTGCTGTCCCACCAGAACAACGGTTAGACCCTAGATCAGAATATATTTTTGTACGAGTGAATCGTTTTTACCACTTAGCGTCGTTTTTATGTCTTATGCGCGTTGCGTTTGAGGGCCGGACAGACAATCAGTAAGTGCGCGCAATGCCGGCGTCGAGCCTCTTCTCCGACATGGACCGCCCCAGCGGCATCGGCGACGAGCGGGCCCTCCAGCTGGCCCTTGAGCTGTCGATGTTGGGCTTCAGCGAGCCCTTGAGCGCCGTCGCCGAGCCGGACGCCGCCGCCGACCTGCCCTTCGTCGGAGGGTTGACCAGCGTGGGCCTGGACGAGGTGCGCTCCAAGAAGTCGCAGAACATGACGGAGTGCGTGCCGGTGCCCAGCTCGGAGCACGTAGCGGAGATCGTGGGCAGACAAGGTAGGACTCGGACTCTACGAAGGTTTTTGCATGCGTTGATAGCGGGGTTGTGGGGACGCCGGCTGTCACGAACGTTGGTTGGATAAAGAAATGGCACGCCGGTGGTCAAAGCGGCGACTGACAAACAAAACACATTCCGGGGTGACGGAAATAACAGCGGTATTTTTGTTTTGTGGAAATGTCATAGTGCACCAGGGTCGGCTTTTTTTGGACCAGAAGGTTCACTTTGATCGTGTTTTTGAAAATTTTCACCCGAAGAATGGGGCGTCGGGAGTGTTTTTGTAACCGTGAGGACCCAAAAATCGTGGAAAAACGTAAATATCTTACAGATTCAGAGTGATTCCCATTGTTTGTCATGTGATAAAACACGAAACCTGAAATGCTTTGAACTTGGATCCTGAGTTATGATAAAGCTGTGTCCACATTTCAACGAAATTCAAGAGGATGTTGTCATCTCACTTTTGAACAAATTTGAGAAATCCCAAAATTGTTTGATGATATGTATACAATCTAGTAACAATTTTCAAAATTTCAATTTTTTGATACACTAAATCCATTCGTTTGACACATTTGAGACAATTTGGTCCAATTTGTTTGATTTTGAAATGCATATTTCAGTTGACACTAGTTTCCTTGACATGTGTATAATTTTCCAAAATAAGTCCCCAGGCGGTTAGACGAGTCGCAGAGTAAATTGGAATACGATATCACACGTGCTGTTATCTTTGAAAAGATGTCACAGGTACCGTTCTGATTAGAACCTTCTCCAAACAAACGTTTGCATTGCAGATGTTATATTTTTCAGCTATATGTATTTACGTTAAATAGTGCAAAGTTATTTCCTTATTGTTCCGTTGATTGTGTGTAGTTTATCACGCTATAAAATCACAATATTTTTTTTTTTTGAGATTATTGACAAAAATCAACGAAGCTGTATGGTTCTACTGGCCAAAATCGTGGGAGATAAGGTATGATAGTGGTTTCCTTGTTGTAACTGTCGTAAAGTTTGGTGTCAGCATCTTCTTTCACGAGTTTCAAAGTTTTTCTAGAAAATTAGGACGCCCGTGGTCAAAAGGCAGCAAGTTGATAATATTTCAGTGTTTGTTGCGAGTTGTCATAGTGCTGTAGATTCGTGGTTCTATGTTGTAAATTGTCAGACAACTTTTTCATTTGCTATTTGTTGTTGGTGCTAGGGGATGCCGGGTGTCAAACGGAAATTTGTGAAGTTTTGAAATTATTGCATTGTATTGGGACGATTTCTGGCAAAATGGGGTTTTGGTTGTCAGAAATTAGTAGTCGAAAAAACGTCAAGTAAATCCTAAATTAAGGGATGATATTTAAAATTTTCTAAGTTCTCAGTTTGAAAACAATTTTTCCCACATTTATGGCTGAACTTATTGTTGCTTAAATGTAGTAATTACGTGTAAAATTTTATAAGAACATAAATTGTGGTTACTATATATCATGCTCAAATTTTAGTTTCATAGGATTCTTGAGAGGATTTTTTTTTCATTTACTTTTGTAATTAAATTAAATTCGACAACTGTTTATTTTATTAAATAGTGTCGATATATTAGTTGTGACAGCAAATTATTAGTTGTTTAATAACGAACACTTCTAATGGAACCAAGTATATATAAGGGTTTGATTTTTGTACATATACTGGTTTGCTTTTATAAGGTGACATTTGTAAATTTGTAGCATGTTTTACTATAATTTCATAAGATCTAATATTTTATGTCAATTAAGGAATGTCATACTAATTTAATCCAGATCAAAACGATATCCAATAGATTGATAAAACGTCAGCTCATGGAAATAAACGGGGTATATTTCATATTGTCGGTATTTGATTTGTTATTATTGGATTATTCTTTTAAATTTCAAACTAAATCTCCTGAGTTTTTTTTTTTTTAATAATAATGCAATTATATTTTGAATATATACATTTTTTGCTTTTATAAAAAAACGTCCTTGATTAATTGGCGAATTAAATTAAGAGTCAAAATTGGATGCATTTCGAGTTTGAATTTTGGAAGTGAGAGCACTTCATACCCATGTTGGTCAGTTGTGCACGGGGGTCAATGTACGCCCTGTGACTGGTTTAATTCCCAAAAAGGTGATAGAACCTTTATAGAAACAGAAAGATCAGCAGATTTGCCTTTGTACTATTTCGTATCAATGTATAAAAAATAAAATATTTTCAGAACTATACAATTACTGTCCACGGTATTAATCCGTGCAATTCTATGCAAATGTTTTTGGCCGCAGCGCGCATCTGACTCATGCCATTTCATTTCATACTAAATTTAACGTTAATAATTTTCCTCGAAAACAACAAAAAATGTATGACATAAATTACACTATCGATACCTTCAGTTATAAAAACATCAATCTTAGACAATTCCAAGTGTAATTTGCACCCAATTAAAAGGAAAAACGAGCTGACAACTGTAAAAGTCCTTCTATAAATAATATTAATTGCGTAGTAAAATTGTGAAATGGTGTTTTTAATTCAATAACACTGGCATGATGAACACAAACAATTTTAATTTCAGTTTGATATTTTAAATTTTATTGAATTTTCGGTTTAAAGCAGAAAAGTGGAAACTTTGTTTGTAGTAAGAAAAAACGAAGTGATAACTATCACAATAAATTAGAATGTTGTTCTACAACTAAATCATGTTTATTGTAACAACTACATGCTTTTTTCTTTAGATCCGATATATCCATTCTTGGGAGTGTTTTTATGTGCTTGGTGTTTTTATATTTTTAAAGAGAGTAAAAAACGAGAGTAATTGCTTGGCGTAATTAATGTACAGAATTTATGGTATAGCTATAACCCAAAAAAAATCTAGTTAGTGCCAGAGGTTCTTATTAAAATATTTTGTTTATAATTACAGTAAAAATAATTTAGTTTGTATTGCTTGCAAATAATTACTGTAGTAATTGCGGGCAAAAGTACTTAAATAGGGTTTAAAATGTCTGATAATATGTTAAGTGTCTTATTTATTGCATATAATTAATGTAGAATGCAAAAAAAGATAACGCTTTTGATAATTACCACCAAGCAAACTCTAAAATTATTTTAGTGAAATTTTTTTGAATCATTGTAGTTAATACATATCATGTTAGTGCATAATTAAAAAGTAAACAAATAAAGGTTACATTATATTGATTTGTTGAACACGCTACAACTGATAAGATTGTTTGACTTTTCCACGTACCTATTGTTTAAAAATTCACAAAATTTCACAGCCGACTCGCCATATTAAAAATTCCTCGCCGCTCTTCCCGGCTTATCAGTTCTAGATGCGCTGATACGGATCCAAAATCTACCTGTCGGTGTATTTTCACAGAAACGTGATTTAATTGTTTACCTGGGTAGTCGAAGATTACGTATGCCGGCTGCCACTGCTGTAAAAGCCGAATTCTATTGTTTCGACGAGACGACGTAGGTGCATGAGGAGATTTGTGCGGCCACCAGATCCAGCTTTTTTCACCCATAAATTTACAGGTTAATCGAAAATTAAAATTCCCATAAAGCAGCCGCAGTCGGCGGCGGCTCTTTGTTCATATTTTCGCGAACTGTTTACTAGTTGCATCGGATGCAAAAAATCGCAGCTTGTTTACTCGAACACGAAAATCGTAAATATTTTTAACGAATTTGGTGTGGTAAAAGTGAGTCTCCAGCGAGTCGTAGATTTATTGGAATTATTGTTTTTGAAAAAGCGCGGTTCAGGTTTAACACAGCATAGTTGTAGAATTTGCAACGCATCGATACGGCATTGCACGATTTATGACTTATGCACTTATTTTATCGTATCAGATTGCTCTTGATTGTCCGTAAAATACAAAGGATTAAATTATTTAAAAATTGTGCAACTTGTTTTTTATTAGAAAGCGTTTTTATTATTTTTGTGTGACTAATTTTCCAGTCCAACCCTGAATCATGTATTTTGATTTGCTTGGCAACCGTGTCGCATATATAGTAATTTTTTTGACTCATTATTTTTCCACTAGAAACCGCTCAACCCCCTCCCGGTTCACCCTCCACGTCGTACTATAACGAACTCCCATCTACTCTATCAACTAACGATCTAAATATGAACCAAGGGTTGTTCACCTAGTAATAGTGACTCGTACGGAGTATTGATCAACGAATGCACCATTTTCAGGGGTTGCTCTGCGCCGATATCATCCACCGAATATTAAATTTCCAAAAAACACTCTCCTTCACCGCATTCCACCTAATTCGCTTAAGCCCCATCTGTACGTGCCGTATTTTCACTTAGTGTCCTCGCGATAAGGGTGTAACACAACACCTTCCAGCCGGTGTATCGATCGACATTGGAAACCACCTATACAGGATGTCGTCTTTCTTTGTTCTGGTGCGTACCGTAATTTTTGTATTCTGTCAGAGTATAATCTTACATGACTCAGTCACAGGAAGTTCAGAATTACTTGGGCCCCGTACGCTCACATTCGCGCTATTGATAATAAGTGCACGCTTCAGGTAACCACCAAAAACGAAAGAAAAACACTGTGAGAACCCAAAGATCGCTCGCCCAGCTGCCGCCGACCTTCTCCAGGTAATTTCTTACCTGAGAGTGCAAACCGGCCTTATCGTGTGAAATTAATAGGGGATGCGGCAAAAAGAGGAAGCGTTCGCTCGCTTTTTTCCCAAATTCAATTAAAAATTTCTGGTGAGCAATCGACGACAAGCGCTGCCATCGATTTCCCAATACAGAGTTTGCCTCATTTTTGCGACTCGGATGTTTTATTGTTGGGGGTTATTTAAAGAAGCTTTTTTGTGGGTGGCGTGCTCCAAATGAGTGGAGAAATAAGGTTATTTCCTGACAGTGACTGATCGAAAGTTGAGTCGTTATTTTGGAAATATCACGTTCGGGGGTGGGTGGGGTCGGGATGCGGCAGTTCTGGCGGCGATTTGGTTTCGTGGGAGTCGCGACGGCCTTGACAGCTGCCGAAGATAATTCGAG